GGCCCCCACGCCGGGAGCAGCCGCGGCGGCGCCGGGAGCACGCGGGATGCGGGACACAGGGCACGGGCCATGCGCGGGGCGCGCGGCTGAGGATACGTGGGAAGTTGCACAGACTGAGGATGTGCTGGAGGATGCTGTTGTTGCAGGAGAGGGGCTGCGTATGGGTATCCATATACCTGTTAAGGACAGCCACTGTGGAGTGGCAGGAGGAACCTCCTGCTGTTATCTTTGGTGCTGAATTTCACAGGAGAAGAATAAGGAGCTCTCCAGTCCGGTGCCTTGTTCTTACAAGGCCCTGCTGGGCCCTGGTTTTGGTGCTGGGCTGCAGGAGGGATAGGCCAAGCCCCAGTTTATGAGGCCAAGCCCCGGCTATGGGGCTTGGCTATGGGGTCAAGCCCGTCCCTTGAAACCAGCCCGCCCAGCTTCTGAAGGGTGGCCAGGACGAGGCTTGAGATCCCGAGCGCTTGGCCTGTGAGCCACCTGGAAGCCGATGGGGAGGCTCTGGGCACCTAAAGCAAGGAGGAGGTGAGAGCAACCCCACAGCGGTTCCGTTCCGTGCTGCGGTTGTGGGTGTGGGATGCAGGAGGGCTCAAAGCTTGGCCAAGGCACGAGCACGTGCAGGGTTTGGGCTTGTCCCACCTCCCTGCCCTGACGTGGGCCGAGTGCTGGCCAGGTGACAGGGACAAAGCCAATGCAGCCTGTGCCACTGCCACGGGGATGCGCTGCGGATGCGAATGCGGGATGCAGGATACGGGATGCGCCCTGCACCTCCCCTCTTTGGCGACTGGGCTGCAGAGCCCCCTCCTTTCCTTCAGCCTTGGCCCTGCACAGGCTGCCCCAGCCCGGCCTGGCCTTCCCTTCACTAACAGCACCAGGAACTGACCTGGTTTCTCCTTTTAGGCAGGGACCCAATTACTAGACACTGCTCCAACTGGAGGGCAACACAACCCATTGCAGGAGCAATGCACAGTGGCAGTTTCGTTATAACAAATCATCTCTTTTATGGTGATAAAAAACCAACAACTCAGCCTCTCTTCTTTGTTTTTATATATATATTTTACATATATATATATATATATATAATATAACTAACTTTTGGGGGAGTGATATTTCTCCTAATATTTTACTAAAATATTTCTTTTTTTTCCTATCTATAAATACTTGTACAGTTGGAATATTAATATATAACTCCGGCGGTAGAGTTCAGTGCAGGTGACATTCACTTAAAAACATGTATTTTGTATTTAAGGGTCGTTTCTTGTTGTTTTGTGTCAAATGTAACTGCAACAGATTGTTTGACTTGGACTGGGACTGCTCTTCCCATCCGTGTAATTAATAAAGTACTAACGATATCTGCTGGCCCATGAGGCAGCCCTCGTGGTTAGTGGCTGCTGCTGTGTGATTCCTTCCAGGAGTGCTATGGAAGGGGGCCGTGTGCTTTTGGCGGAGCTGTGGGATGGGTATTGAAGCCACCTGTCCCCCTGTCTCTAGTGTCACTGAGTGAGCCCAAGGAAGCCGTTTGGCAGCTCTGTAAGGTGAGGTGGGAGCAAGGAGAGGGGGTGTCTCCAGTACGTTCCCAAGAGCCAGGTCTTGGGCAAGGGGTTGCTCTTCCCCTGGCAGAGGGCAGCGGCCCTCCCGGAGCGCTCCCCCAGCTCCTGCGGTGCTAAAGGCTCCAGAGGCTCCGGCAGCCCCGTGATGTCGCTCAGCTCATGCCCTGCTTGGGAGCTGCCTCCCACAGCGCTGCAGCCCTGTCCCGGGGC